GTTGAGATATTCAACCTCATAACTTAGGTTAAAATACAATGAATCTATGTGAATTCCATTCGGATCGGTCTTAATTTGATCCACACTAAATCCATTCATATAGATTGATTTTGAATTTGGTTCCTTTTAGATCCCATCCACATGGATCCGCATTGAATCCCGTCCAAGTTGAGAAGTTGCCACCTTAGTCAAAATGGCTTAAACTCTTACAAATCAATTATTACTTGTTAGCCTAAAAAAGATTAGATACAATTATTTTTAAAAAATAAAAAGTATATGGGTGAAGAATATTCCTTCTAATTTGCTAACAAGCCCACTTTTACTTGGACCTCTTTAGACCAAGTCCTTCGTATTAGGTCTTATGTTTTTTTATGGAATTGGAGTTGTTAGATTGTCCACCATTATATTATAATTTGTTTTATTTTATTCTTTTTGGTAATGAGTAATCCGTAATCAACCATATAGTTGCACTGTATAAATGCATTCTCATATAATAACGTGTAAATACTGGCGACACTATAAAGGGGCGGGGGCCTGTTGACCCCCAAAAAAAAAAATTAGGTATTTTGCACTTATACTTTTTGAATATTAATTTTGCCCCCCTCAAAGTTTTTGTAAATGCATGTCTTAATCCTTTTATTTATATTATTTCTTTACTAGTAACCATGGCCCGTGCGTTGCACGGGGTTAAATTTAAAATAGAAGATAAAGTAATTATTTAATAGTTGACATAAATCTAATTATTTTTATGAGCATTATTATTTTATGTTCAATATTTGTCTTAAGGAATATTATTTAGTTAAAGTAATTGGCCCATTAAAAGTTATGAGCGAAAATGTATCAATCAATGAAAAATTATAAGGAGACAATAAACTTAAAAGATTATAATATTCGTCTATTATTAAAAGATAATGATTTTGTAAGCAACACCCCCTTTGATTGTGCTACTTATACCATGCAAATAGTTTTCCAAAATAATTGATCGAGTTATACATAAAAACGTAAACTGTCAAATCAGTAAAAGATGAGGATCATGAAACTCTAAAAATGTATACCAATAGTCTATTCATAACAAAATTGTAAAAGTTGGCAGGAAACTTTATGTGTCAGTCTAATTTCAAATAGAAGTGGAATGCATAATATTTGAAAAGTATAGAAAATAATAAAAGAACCAATTCGCATCTAATGACAAAACATGGCATTGGATTTTATTATAATTCAAACAATTTGTTGATGAGGCAAAATCACACGATCATCCTGTTAAGAGAACCTTCAATAAAGCTTTGTTAAAGAAAATAAATAAACATACAGTTCATAGAATAGATTATACATTCACAAACCAAAATGAACTTATGTAAGTTCAAGAAACTATCTCGTGTATTTTCTGTATTATGGGCAAAACAATTCGATGTATGATTAAGTTTAAATATCTCTATCAAATAAACTTTTAATGGAGAAACCTTTACAAATCAATTTTTCTCAAAACATGATTATAATACTTATAACCAACTATTCCCATTGAAATGTACCAATGTACTTGCAGTAATTTCTCTCCGTGTGTATGACTTGGCTTGGAGTTTTCAAAATTTTAAAACAGCAATAGAGGTTTTACCTAATTTTTTCTTCCTGCATAAATACAACCATTAGTGCAAAACTACTTGGGTAACCTAGTATCTTTCAAAAAAGTTGAGGCAAAAAAGTTGGTTACATTCTTAGCTCGGGCTTCAGTTTTCCTTTACTTTTGCATGAATTTCTTTTTCTAAGGAGGCTACTTTGACATTTTTGCTTCTTCTTTTGGGGAAGCACGGAGGAGAATTCGACAACTTCAAATAGCATTTGCGTATCAAATTGTGTCATAAATACAATGGATAAGAATAGAAGTAATCTACAGTTCTAATTGATTGTTAAGCAGGCCTCTATTAAAATTAGTACACGATCTCAAGTCCCATAAAACAAATTTCTTACAATGGCGGCATCAAAATTGAGTCTAAAATGACAAAAATGTCATAGTAAAGCAACAATATAGTAATACTCATGGCCCCAGCTACTGCATTGCAGAAATAAGAGTATAAATGAAAGCAATCATGAAATTTAGACATAAGTTCTGTGAATCATTTTTCTTAAGTAGTATGAGTGGAAGTCATTTAGGTCATGTCCAAGGTCCCCTTGCGATGCACGCGACATATACGAAATGCAAGAATCTTGTAACTCAATTTATGGAGACACTCACGAATAGGATATCGGAATAAAAATAAAACTTAGTGGCATTATAAAAAAAAGAGTGGTGTTATTTCCACCTCCAAAGTATCTCAATTTACCACAAAAAATATATAAAATGTCATAAATACCCTCAAATTTATAATCCACCATCCTTTCTTATATTCGCTTAATCCTCATATGTTCTAATTTATTTATATTTCTAATTTATTTTTTTAACTTTTTAATTTTTTTAATTCCTACTCTTTTTTACCTTGGGAAATATTTTTCTCTAACGGAAGTATTATCGCTTAAGGTGCAGAGGGTGATATTTTCGGTTAAGATCCATTGAAAATGATGAGGGTTTTTTTATAAATATTTTAATTAATTTAGTGGTGGACGGTTTATAAATTTGTAAAAAATATAGATGAAAGTAGAAGAAATGGATAAAATGGGAAATACATTTAATTTGGTTGTGAAATAAGATATTTTAAGGATGGAAATAACACGTCTCTGAAAATAAAGGGTTAAATACAGTTTGTACCACTAACTGTACATAGGGTAAATGCGACAGTGGTCATAGTACATGGGTGCAAATTGTATTTAACAATAAAAAGGATTAGGAAAAAAATCAGATTTACTCTCAAAATTGGATCAATTAAAACCCTCAAAGCTCAGCCCCAGATTCCAGTGAAGGGAGGAGACACGAAAATAAAAGAAGAAATCACAAAAAAAAAAAAAAAAAAAAAACTCACCCCTGAGTCATGAGGTACCCGGGATCACGAAAGAGGACTTTGGCTATTCAGCCCGACCCCAGATTTCTTTGTATCACAACTCATTTTTCTGGGGTAACATATGAGAGGATTGTTTCTAATCTCTCAGAAATTTTTGAACTGTTGAGTAGACTTGTGTTGCTAAGTGGGAGATTATGTTTCTCCGAGAAAGTGAAAAAATGCTGCTGCAACAAAAAACACAGAAATAGTGAGGTAATTTAAGTAAATATCTACAAACTTGTTTAATAATAATAACTGAAACACCATCATATGAGGGAAAAGAACCTGGTAAAAGCAGTTCGATGGGTTCAAACATTTCTACCTAAATCTATATGCACAGCTAACCCCGCAAAAGGATTTAGAACTACAGTGCAAATTTGTGAGGAAAAAGAAATACATTTACAGAGACGGGTAAATTTTTTTGGCCGGTTACATAAAAATTGAAAATACAGGGAAAAAAGGAAATTCAAGAGAGTGAGAATAAATTGTATGAATTTCGGACAGAGAAATTGTGAGAATCTCTTCTTACTTTTTCTTCTCGGATGTTTTTTCGTACTCTTCTGACAAATGGTTGCTCTTTTAATTCAAGATACCAAATGCCATAAATCTGCAATTTGTTTATCGAAATGATAATATATGCAATTAGATTACCTCTTTCGACGGATTCCAGGTGTGGTTCCGTAGCTAAACAAATTTATTCAAGACAATTGTTGGAGATGCCTGGATTACTACAAACAACAACGACCATAAATATTATTAATTAAAAAAAAAGTTGAAAACGCCACCCATTGTATTGAATATGGAGACCAAATTTAAGAAGTTGTTACCTTGAGCCTTTACTTTATGATTTGAGAGGAGTTTTTTCTTCTAGTATATGATGGCGGAATTTTCCAAAACCCTGAAAATTATGGACAAAGGGAAAAAACAAACACCGAATATAATCATACAAAATTACGTACATAATGAAAAAAAATATTCAAAAATTGAACCGAGATTCAACTGTTTTCACCTTTGATAAAAAATGTGTGATATGTAATTTTCTTCCTAATTTTCACCTTTAACCGCCTCTGTCATCTTCTTCTCTTTTTCTAGTTTACTCACAACTGTAAATTATTTGTAAGAGGATGTTTTTTTTTTCTTTCTTTTTTATGTGAGTTTTTTTATCATAAACCAAATGAACAGTTAGTGGAGGATGATAGTTATAGAGGTGGAAGTATAAATGGAATAACCGCAAATATTTATTTATATCGTTGGCGGTTTTATTTTAATTAATTAATTTATTATTTATTAACATAATTTATGAGACAATTGGTTAAGAAAACAAAAAACACAAATATTAAATATAATAATGGAATCAATTTTTATTAACGTAATTTATGAAACAATTAAATAAGAAAAAAAAAACACCAAAATTAAAGATAATTATGGAATCAATTTAATCCCTTATTAATAGGAATCCACTAAGCACTAAAAACTTCACCCGTTTAAAATTCCTTATCTATAGCCAACCACTTTCATTAAAAAATTAAAATAAAAGAAACCTTTAAATTAAAAAAAAAAAAAAAAAGAAGATGACTTTCATTACAATAGAGAAAACCAAAATCACCGAGAAAAGAAAAATTGAAAGTACGACAAAAAATAAAAAATTAAACAATTAATATAAGGAAAAGAAAAAAAAAACTGTCAAAATAGAAATGTCTAAAATACCCCTAGATTTAGGTTTAGGGTTATAGTTCAAAATATCTTCTTTTTATATATAAGATAATCTTATATAATTATAGATACAAAAATCATATTTAATACTAACAATATAAGATAAAATATTAAGTTTTTTACTATTTTTAAGTAAAATTTATAAATATTTACTTAATTTTTTTCAACAAAAATATTAAGTGTAATACATTATTAGAATCATTTGGATTAATTAGATTTTATTTTTTGTATGGTTCAAATATGATAAGATTATAATATATATTGTTTTAATTAAAATTAGCAATATAAACTTATTTTTGCAATGTCTTGCGACACTAAAATTTTTTCGTGGCGCTACCCCGAACCTCGAAAATTTTGCTCGCCCTCCCTTTGTTTTCATCCTGGTTCCGCCCCTGCTTGCGAACTATACGAAAAACGTAAACTACATTAAGCGAATCACGACAATAATTATTGGCAAAGAAATTCGAACATGAGTCAATTGATACATACTCGTTGCTCGAAACCTAAGTCATCTTTATATATATAATATGATAAATATAATTATATAATTTTTAAGTAGTATATGAATATGGTGCACCTAAATTAATGACATCACGGTGGAGTAAGCATGAAGTCATGAGTTTTACTTGACAGCAAAAACAATATTAAAAAAATGTGTGATAGTTACATGCAAATAATAATACAATTATCATTCAATTCAATTCAATAAAAATGAAGAAAACGACCAAGACAAGGTCAACCACCACGTCACTGCTTACAAAACCAACGACCACAATTAGTCAACAACCTCCCCCACTAACGACTGCAGCTCTCTAAATAATAATAATAATAATAATAACAATAATAATAATATCCCATCTCTATTTTCTTTTCCTTTTTCGTCCATAACAAAAAATATTAAAAAAATCAACTATTCATCCAAATTTGTCGTGGAATATATCATTGAATGTATCACGTGATCGTGACTTTTAATGTGTATAATTCGCAAGAGTTTATCTAAAGATTTATCGAACAAAGTTACGCGCAAGGGTGGCCTAGCGGTTGGAGCAAGAGAGCTTGGGTCAATTGACCCAAGTTCGAATCCCCTTGCCAACGGTCGCTAGGTCGAGCTTGTCACACATGGTTAGCCTAGTGTGGTTTACATCTCTCGTATGGTTTACAAGCTATTATACGAGAGTGTAGGTTTACCCAGTGCACCTATATGGTTGGCTGCGGGTTCCTGCATTACCAAAAAAAAGAAAAAAAAGTTACGCTTGTATTCAATAGTTTGTAAATTGTACGAAAAATATAAATCAGACTGCATCGATCATGTTATATGCAAATTCCAACAAAATTTCATCTTCCTAATTCTAATTTAAGTTATTTCAATATATGAATTTTGAATACCAGTGAACGATTTTCGACGGGCTAGCATCGGAAACAACTTATTTTATTATTTATTAATTAAAATATTAGCAACTTAGTTATCAATTTGGTGGGGATATAGTTATGAAAATTATGAATTGTCATCAAATCATTCCACGAGGCATGAAGCATTAAATGGACGTGTTATCTAGACTTTTTGTTGGGATTATTATTATGATTATTATTATTATTATTATATATATATATATATATATATTTATTTTTTGTATTCAATTGTGTGAACAAGAACAACTATATAGTATATATCATTTATTTAACGGACGAGAGTCAACGTTAAACAGCTGCCGTCAGATAGTCAGTTATGAATATTGGACGGTGGATGTGCTATTTATTGAGTTCCCACGCACATGTGACTTTATTTGTTTCTCTTTTCCCTTTTTATTTATTTAATCATTTAATTGTGATTTTTATGTGTAATTAAATTGGAATATTCGATTCTTTGAATGGTTCAACTAAAAACTTTATAAGTTGTCCATTTGATCAATTGATTTAACAATAGTCCAAAGTTTTTATTAATTAGTTACTATGATGAAGAAAATAATTCAATTTGATTTTACAATAGTTATAGACTTATAGTAATGTAGTATTAAATTATTAATACAACTTTTAATACACGACTATAGTACATGATACACGTAGCAAAAAAATTAAAGTAAAGTTAACGATAAACCAATATTAGGTCGACGCAGTCCCTTACCATACCGGTTTTATAGATGTGTAACCGACGAAATATATCGGGTGATCCTGCACCATTGATCTAACAGACATCCCAACATATAAATCTATGATGCAAAATTACCCAATATTTTTCATCGAGTGTATCATCTCATAGATCGACTTTACCAGATGCATAATTAAAAGTGACACATTTTTCTTTTTAGATTTTTTTTTTTAATATTTATATTGACTCTTTTGATATATGGTAGACTTAGCAGTCAAGTGATATATCATATATCTGATTATATGCATAAACTATACCTAATTGTAGAAATTATGACCAAGATTATAATAAAACAATTGATTAAATAATTAAAAGAAAAAGGTCAATTTAAATTAATATAAAACAATATCTTTTGTGGATGAAAACCAAAGAAATGTGAAGACCAAAGTCAACCTATTGCTGTTACCTAACATGGTATATATTGTACGTAGCCTCTGATACATATTGACTTTCAGCAAGCATTCGAGGCATTATTTTTTTTTAATTAATTTATTTTAAATCAATTTGCAATTTTATAATCCGAATAAAGAAATTTATTTGAGTACTGCATGATCGTTACACTAATCAATTAAAATCGTATCTTTGAACAAGTCAACAAACTGCTGGGGCCAAAAGAATATTTTATGACATCACAATTTGATTAATGATAATTAAATAATTCAATTAGGGATGTTTAATTAGTGAAGATCCTAATTATAATTAATTTTGTAAATTCGGTTATTTTGAAATAAATAAAGGGTAAAATAAAAATATTATGCCCATAGAATCATAGATTAACCAAACACCCTTCATAATAAAATGATGGGAAAAAAAAAGAAGGAAAAATCGAAGTTCAATCATTCATCACCTTAGCCCGGCCCGGCCCGACCCGGCCCACATATATTAACACATCTTCCATTTTTACCCCTCTACATTTTGCAAAAAAAAAAAAAAAAAAAAATTAGAATTATTGTTACACCAAGCTACACAGCTTTCCATGATTCCAGAGTGGGAAAGCTACAAACAGAGTCATAATAAAGCTCAGCCGCAGCTGCGGCTGCGCCACCATCGGCCACGACCGCCGACGGCGGAGATAAAGCTGGGCCGTCCGCAAAAAATGCCGACGTGTCGAGTGTCGGCAATCCAAACGCCTGGTAATTCGCCGCGCTACTACGCCGCGTCTCAGGCTTCAAAGCCTCCGGCGCCGCCGTGAGCAGCTCCGTCGAGCCGCCGAATCTGGCACCGGTCACCTGCTGCACCATCTGCCTGAAATTCGCCGGATCCGCGGTGATGAACGTCGTCGCCGCCGCTCGCTTCGACGGCCGCGGCTTCCGCTTCGCAACCCTGCCGCTTGCCGGAAATCCCCCCCTCCGCTGATTCTTCGGCACAGGCGAATCGCTCTCCGAGACGCCGGAAATCGTCGGAGTCTGAAGCGGCGTCGCATCGGAATTTACATACAGAGACTGGAGCATCTCCGTCGAGCAGACGTCGCCGTGGCCGGAGGAAACTCCGGCGAACGAATTCTGCAGAGCTTTCGCTAGGGTTTCATTTTCCCGCGCGAAGACGTCGGAAATCCAAGCATCGGAAAACGCCGGCCGGAATTGCCACGTCTGCTCCATCATCAAATTATCGTAATTAAAAGCCATATTTAAATTTTTTTTTTCCCTCCCTCAAAAAATTATAAACAATATATATAAGAAATTGCAGATCCGTAGTAAGGGTGGTGAGTGAATAAATAGGGCGGTGGTAACCGCGTTGCTTCGGCATATGGACACGTGGCAATCTATTATGTACGGATGCCAAACAATGTTTAATTAACTTTTAATTAATTAATTTAGTTGCCATTTGATTTTTGACTAGCCGCCAAAATGCATCAGCCTCACACTAGTTATTTATTTATTGAGCTAAATACACTTTGTACCCCTATAGTATAGTTTATATAATATTTACCCCTCAAATATCTTCAATTTAAAATATAATATATTTTTTTAAATGTATTTTACACACTTTTCATGAAATTAATGATATAGAAATTAAGGAATAATTAGTTATTTGAAATTTATTGATTTTTTAACATGCCTTACTAGTCGTAATTATTTGATAAATGTATTGTTCATTGATATATTAGGATTTGTGGTCAATAACTTAATTCTTAATTATTTTTAAATTGTATTTGTCCAACAAAAACTAGATGTTATGTTATTAAATATGTTACCAATGCAAGATACTCCCTCCGTTCCCTATTAAGTGTCGTTTTTGGCTTTTCACAAGGATTAAGAAGCTCAATAAATGTATCTTGATTTTAGGTAAAATATATTAAAAAGACTAAAATAACATTGATTATTTAATGATGTGATAAGAGAGAGTTAATACTTATAGTTGAATTAATAAGGTTAAAACAGGAAAAAATGAATTTAATGCAGTATTGGAAATATAAAGTGACAGATAATATGGAACAAAAATATTTTTGAAAAGAAACAGTTATTGTGGAACAGAGGGAGTAACATTTTTTAAATTTTAAATGTTGCATTGTTTCCAATAGATATTTGTAATAATAAAATTTTACTATTCTTTTTATTATTTCATCCAATAGAAAAGAAAAATTTAAGGGTATTAAAATTTTAAAATACAAATTAAATCGTGCTTTAAGGGGTAAGTGTTACATGGAGTATACTTTATGGGTTTAAAGTGTATTTAACCCTATATATATATATATATATATATATATATATATATATATATATATATATATATATATATATATATATATATATATATATATATATTTCCTTTCTGTTATGTGATGTTTAAAATGGTTTTATTTATAAAAGTAATTAAAAAATTCCACCAGAAAACGGCGTCGTTTTTAACTGGCAAAACGGATCCAATACTGCATGACCCAATGAGTCATGTGTGTGGTCATGTGGGTTGGCTGGCAGATATAACGTGTGGGCCGGATCCGGATAGACTGGATTGTCTCCCTCTTTTATGTTATTGCATATTTGATTTATTTTAATTTTTTCAAAAAAATATATCTTTTTATGAGCATTTTAATTTTTAAGAACCCCCTCTGAAATAAACTTGATTATTTAATAATGTGACAATAAAAAAAATAATACCCAAAGTTAAATTAATAAGATTAAAACAATAAAAGACTCTTGCATAATTAAAATTTTAAAATGAAAAATAATTTGTAACAAAAATATTTTTAATATGATTTTTGTTTGGAATTTTGGTGGCAAAAAAATTGATTGAGAGAGGGGGGAGAAATTGAGGAGTGGACTATTATTGTAGTGTCATTTTCGTCAATTCATCAATCATTATCAATTCTTTATTTTATATATTTTTTTGTTTTGTTAATCCAAAGCCTGCCTTTCTAGATTAAGGTCAAAATTGGGAAATTCATTTTCAATTATTGAATGCTAATGTGAAATGCTTCAGCAATGACGTCATTATGAGAGAGGCATGATGTCTTATTTAAAAAATATATTCAATTATGAAAATAATATCTTGCTTAGAAAATTATATTTATAATAATAGAAAAATATATATAATTTGCTTGGAAATTTAGTTGGAGTAACTAATCGTGCTCGTTACTCTATTCATGAAAAAACATATCATATTTTTATAATTGCATCCATCCATTTCAATTCGAGAAGGTAGATGTAAGAAATTTATAAACCAAGAGGTCTTTTGTAATTTCTAAAATGTGAGGGGTCTTTTGTAAATATACTTAGCCTCGGGGAGGTGGTTGTATTTTACCCTTAATTTTTTTTTTTTTTTTTTTTTTTTGAGAAACCTTAAAATATTTACTTAATTATAGGTCATAATTGCAATTTTCGATAAAATAAATAATAAATAAATTAAAAATGTCTAAAAGCCTTAGTTAACAGCTCACTCTCCCCATTACTCTCTCTCTCTCTCTCTCTCTCTTTCTCTCTACAGAGATTGTATAGATTCCTTGAGAATAATATGTAATTAACTTTATATGCTGTAGAATTTTCCATTGTTGTCGTTTCGTCCCCTGGATCAAAGGTATGAACATATATTCTACTTTCCCTTTTCTTTCTTTACTTCTTATCTTATTTCCTTTTTAATTTTTAATGTTTTTTTTTCTTTTTATCTTTTAGGGAATGAATTTCGTTTGATTTGTTAATTGCTATAATGGGTTGTTGGTATTTATTAAAAAAAAAAAAAGAATTAGAATTAATTCTTGACTTGATCTCCAGATTTAGTATATGAATTTAATTTCTTGAGCTGATAAAAATTCATTCTTGTGATAATAGCTGAGATGGCAAGCGGCAGAGGAACTCAATTGTGTTACAGTCAACAACATAACAACCAGAATCCGAGATTTATGGAAGCTGTCTCGAATTTCCTGAGTCAACATCAGCAGACAGCTGTCAGAAGCAGCAGCATCTCCGGCAATTCTTGGAACTCGTTCCTAATTTACAGCGGAGACATGCCAGCTAGGATGCCAGCTGGCGACGGAGGCCTCGTGGAGTTCCTCAACGAAACCCTAGGGTTCAGGCGAGAGAACGGGGGTGACTACTTCATCGGTCCCGGTGTCGAAGAATTTTTCCGCCACGTCACACTCAACAACCGGCGCGGTCCTCCACCGGCTTCAAGATCGTCGATCGATGACTTATCGACGGTCAAGATTTCGAGGAAGCACGTGCGTGCTGAATCCACCTGCGCCGTGTGTAAAGAGAGATTCGAACCGGGCACTCGAGTGAAGAAGCTCCCGTGCGGACATTTGTATCACTCGGAATGTATCGGGCCGTGGCTTGAGCAACGGAGCTCGTGCCCCGTTTGCCGTCAGAAGGTGACACATCAGCAAAAAGTTAACGGGTCCGTCAAAAGGCGACTATGGTCTTCGTTGTGGCCATTTGGTTCGTCATCTCGTGCCAATGGTAATCGTGGCGAAAGAATCGAACCTAGTTCACTTACACACCGTTAGGAGTTCTGCCATCAATTGGTCGGTTTTTCGAATACATGTAAGTGTCGTCATAGTGTATCGACTAATTTCGTATATCATCCTTTTCTCAGTTTTATTGTGACAATAATGTTTAGCTTCAGCCAATAAATAACAAGTACTTTATATTTGCCAATCGTCGGAGCTTCATTTATGTAATAAGCTCATGCTCGATATTTTGTTCATTTCATCGATGATGTTCTTGGAAATGTACATTAGTTATTCAAGATCGATGATAATCTTTTTATATTTTCTTAGATACCTTAACGATTCAACGATAACCACAACGATCATTTTGCTCCTAATTTTCACAACAACAACAAAAAAATAAATAATAATAATTACCATTTTGATAATTTTATGTAAATATAAAGGCAAATTTGTATATATATAAATTACAAGTGCTAAACATAATAAACGGACGATTTTTATGCGAGCCCACCTTTGATTCTGCATGTCGCCGTAAGCATCAACAATCACAATCGTAGTTTTCAGGGGAACCGAAGGAGTGGGCATCGAGCGATATTCGAATTCTGCACGAGAGTTTGGAATATTGTTGGACAACTGATCAGATTCGGGCAATCTTCAATCGTGAAAGAATTCAGGCAGGGCATGTCAGCATTGCTCGCGTTTCTCCATTGTATCAACATTGACATACCATGAAGTTGAAAGGACTCTAATGAAGGGAACTTCACATGATTGCCCGTACCGTAGAATCTATCGTCCACGTACTGCAAAAGAGGCATGTCCGAGATAGCAAAAGATTTGAGAGACGGAAGTTGACCAAGAGACGGAAGGCTGTCGCAGTATTTAAGCCCTTGCAAATGAATACTCGTAAATTTGCGCCACGATTCGCTCAACCAATTAGGGTAGATAACGCCGCAGTAGTTTTGGATGACCAAATCTCTTACGTTTCCGTGAGGTTGAAGATTTGCCAATACTTGAGCTTGTTCGCTCATTCTTTGGTTAAGGAGCGGTGATCCAGCTGGCAATTTTATCCACTGCAGTTCAAGCTTGTTTAGGCATGTTTTCATGCCTAACTTGGCTTCTTCGGCGCTCGTTGCATTTGAGACGTATTGGATATTCTTTATGCAGAGTGATCCTCTAAGACAATCCATATCCTTTAGTTCCTCAATCCCGTGTCCCTTTTTTCGACCTACGACGTACGTAGAAAGAGTCTGAAGACTAGTCAACCTTCCGAACCCTAGTGGCATGCACTGAAGCTGGCCTTTTGTGTCCAGCTCGAGATGCCGTAAATTTGAGAGATTCCTCGTATTTTGCGGCAATTCGATAAGCTGGGAGCAATTTTTCAGCTTCAGTGTTTGTAATGCCACTAGTTTACACATGGACTCCGGCAGACGGAACATGCGGTTTTCAGAGAGGTTAAGATAGCGAAGATATTCCAACCGATCGACAGAATCTGGGAGATCGTTCAGGCCAAGACGACTCAAATCCAGCACCCTCAGGCACTGCAAATATAAGAACAACTGGCGATCGATAACTCCTCCGGTAGTTATATTATTACTGATCACTAAGAAAGTCCTTAACCTCTCATTTTTCTGGTATGCTTGTAGCCGCGCTGATGGTTGAATACCATCACGAAGCAAAGAAAAATGACACGCATTGCCGAATAAGGGATAGTGCTTTAACATACTATATTTCACGCGGCAGCATGCATCTCTCGAGACAACTCGAGCCATGTCGTGAATCAGGTCGTGCATTTTGTATATTATCCGATTCGAAGTGCTTCCACACCGTTCGAAGAGAGATGCCGAGTGTAGATCATTGAAGTATTCACTGCCCAAATCTTCGAGTCTCCTAGCTCCTATTGGCTGAATGAATCCCTCCGCCATCCATAAGAGTACGAGTTCGTCGACGTCAAACTCGTGATCTTTAGGAAAGAGGGAACAGTAAGCAAAACATTTTTGCAAATGCGGCGGAAGGTTCAGATAACTGAGCAACAAAGCAGGAAATACATTTTTGTCGTGCGGCAAATCCCACAACTCGGTCTCTAATACGGAACTCCATTCTTGTTCGGTACACTTGCGGCGCAGCATATTTCCAAGTGCCGTGGCCACTAGCGGCAAGCCTTTGCATTTTGTTGCAATTTGTTTGCCAATTGATTCCAAGACTGTGCTTGCCCTTGCCTCTGCACCGGTGGCCGCCCTTTGTTTAATCACCTCCCAACAGTCGTCATCGGATAAAATCTTCAACCTGTATGCTTCGGAAAAGCTCACGATTGACGAGACTTTAGCACTTCTCGTGGTTACGACAATTTTGCTATCTTTAGAACCGAATCTAAAAGGCGAGCAAAGAATGTCCCAATCGTCGTGCTTCTCGCTCCAGTAGTCGTCTAGAACCAATAAAAACTTCACCCCACGCAACAAATTGCGCAGCTCCTTCTGAAGGGAGTACAAATCCGATAAATTGCAAGGAGAAAGCGTTACGCACTCGATTATCGACTTTGTAATTCTAACCGCGTCGAAATTCGTGGAGATGGACACCCACATTTTCTTCCCGAAACTGCTGCTCACCGTGTCATCATCGAATACGAGTCGAGCAAGAGTGGTTTTGCCAAGTCCACACATCCCGACTAAAGGAATCACAGAGAAATTATCGACATCGCATTCCCCCGTAAGCAAATGCACCAGACACGCTTTATCTCGAACCCTCCCGACCACATTTCTATCATCCACAAACGACGCCGTTGAACGCGAAGTTGTTGAAACAGTTTTACCGGCAGCATCAAATTTGGCCTTCTCAATCACATTCAGACTCTCCATTTCTCTGAGGAGCTCCTCGAGTTTCTTCTGCATTGCAGATATCTCACGTGGGAGGTCGAATTTAAAAGACGAAAGCACCATCGAGAAGACCTGATTTTGTCGGGCGGCGGCGGCGGCGGCGGCGTTGTTTTCCGATTGTTCTGCACAGTAGTTGGAGAGATGCAGGGAGACTCGGTCGAGAAGGGCGTCGGCATCGTAGGCAAGCTTTCTCATGTCTTCGAACCACATCTGCCACGCGCTGCTCCAGCCCGAAAACCTAAACGGGCTGCCGTCGATGTGGTCCACCAAATCTCGAGCTTTCAAGAAAGTTCTGTGCAGCTTGCGGAGCTCGGCCTCAACGCCCCATATCACACCTATTTCTTTCCAGGCGAAAGAACCGAATGTTGCAAATCTCTCCAGCGCGAATTGCAGGAAGGCCGACCCGAACCCGGTTTTGAAGCCCGATGCAAATGATGAATCGCCCATCTTCAATATTTGGCCTGAAATGAATGAAGTTGCAGTTTTTTTTTTTTGGCTATGATTTTTTTCAGAATTTCAAAGTAAACGCTGAAAAGAGAATTCACCGTCGGTTGCCTCGAAAGTCACCCCCACTTGCCTGGAAACTGGACAAGCAGTGGAACTAACGATTTGGAGAGGTCAGTACAGCTTTAATCCTACTTTCCACCCTTGAAATGTGCCATTTTAGCAGTTTGCACCCTTGAAAAAAATTAATGTCATTTTACACCCTTAAAACACAATAAATCATCCACAATGAACTCTGAAATTGAATATTTATAACTTAACGAGGATGATTTTATTTTTTGTTGGTTTTTTTTTTTTTCATGTTGCAAGAAAAAAAATAAAAAAATCTTCACCTCCAACATAATTTCTAGCATATAAAATGGGAAAAAAATAAAAATCGCAACGAATTACTGAAAAAAACTATATACTTTCTTAAAAAAAAAAAAAGAACTTTTCTCACTAAATTATTCGGTTGATGGATTTTTATTGTAATTAATGAAAATAAATTAGTAGAAATCGTTGAAAGAAAATATAATTTTCAAATAATTTGATGATAGTAAAATAGCTGAATTTTTTTTGTTCTCTTTATTTACTGTAAACTATTATTTTGTGAAGAAAAAAAAATTAATATGTTGGTGAGATGTATATTTTATGTTTCCAATTTGTAGTTTCAAAAGGATCGATGAATATATAAAATAAATGATTTGACATTCAATAAAATACCATTCAAAATATCAAACTATCTTAATTTTAGCATTAGAAAATCATTCGTGGTGCATTATGTATGATTTATTGTGTTTTGAGGGTGCAAAATGCTATAAAAGAAATTTGAGGGTGCAAAGTGCCAAAATGCTATTTTCCAGAGGTGCAAAGTGAGATTAGTAATTTTTTTTATGCTCTTTCATTGAGAAAAGAAAAGGAATAAATGCGAGTAAAAAATGTCCGGTGTTTTTTTTTTTCGCAATTTGTACGCTCGAAATTAGGTTGGAGGTTGAAAGAAATAATAATTTAATTTTTTATTTTGCATGCCGATAAAAAAAAAGTCAATAAAAAAAATTGCCTTCATTATTCAATTCAGTGCCCATTGTGAATGATTTATTGTGTTTTAAGGGTAAAAAATGTTATTATTATTTTCCAAGGGTGTAAAGAGACAAAAAAAAAATCTATTTAAAGGTTGCAAAGTGGAATTAAGCTTAAATATGTGTCATTTTGTAACTTGTAAGTAGTTATATTTACTATTTTTCCGGTTTTTTATATTTATTTAGAGACACTAGAATAGGGGATTTTCGTAATTTAAGCATACTTTAGGGCTTGTTAGTAATTGCCCTAAAAGGGATTATATCTAATAATCTAGATAGGCATTGACTAAAACAACCGTTGAGTATGAAGGTTGGATGAATGTCAATGATGATTCAGAGAAACACAAACCAAAATCCATGGCGAATCTGTATCCAGTTTTAATTGCTCTGTCGTTTTCCTGCTTCCTCATCAAATCCGCCGCCGTACGCAGCAACGCAACAAGGGGTATTTCTGTCAATTGCGGTTCAACAGGCACCTCAGCAGCGCGCAGTGGCAGGGTATGGATCGGAGATGTGTGGCCGGAATATCCTTACTTGCTGCAAGTGAAGGGAGCGTCGACGATCTCAGCCGTCGTCGGAAATTCGATCTCCGCCGATCCAATTCCGTACAAGAGGGCGAGAATCTCTCGATCTCAATTCGTCTACGCATTTCTGGTGATGCCAGGTCAGAACATAATCCGCCTTCACTTTAATCCCTCTAAGTACAGAGGTTTTCAAGGGTTAAAGGACTTGTTCACTGTTGAAGCCGGTCCTTTTACTCTGCTCAGTAATTTTAGCCCCTCCCTTACTGCTGATGCTCTCGGTGTTGGCTTTTTTGCCAAGGAATTCCTTTTAAACATACCAGAATATGAAAGACTCAACATAATTTTCTCCCCTGGAATCAGTGAATCGTTGGATACGTATGCTTTCGTAAATGGCATCGAGATTTTCTCAGTGCCGCCGCCTTCGAGTGTTTCCTACTTCCAAGACGGAGATTACAGCACTGCACTTGAAATACTCGAGGTGGAACAGATTTCTGTTCCGTATGCTGGAGATTCTGGGTATGCGCATCCATTTCCATTTTCGATAAGCCAGAATGCAAAATATAACACATGGAAGATACCGGTGGATGTGGGATTCAAGTACCTGGTCAGGGTTCATTTTTTGGAGAAGGGACTCAAGTTTGCATTAGCTGGTGTAGGAAATGGCATCCCGCCGTATAGGGATTACACGGTGGTGGTGAGAGGGAACACTGACAAGGGTAAACGTGATATCTTGATTCCCTTGCAGTCATATGATGAACTTATTGATGTAATGTTTAAAGACATTGCTAATGAAATCGTTGCTGATTTTAACGTTCAACTTGTTAGAGGAAGTGACGGAAATAACATTCCCTCGTATAGCGACTCCATGGTGATGATGAAAGAGAAGGGTGAACATATCTTCATTCGCTTGCAGTCATATGATTCTCTTATAGATGCTCCTGCACTTGTTTCAGGAGTTGAAATATTTAAGGCGATCAACTCTTATAATAGTGCTTGGTCACCATCTGGCGAGTCGTTTTTCTTGGCTTCTATTCGCACGACTAGCACAATTTTCATCCTTGTATTTACTATTTACTTTTTGCGAGTTATCTTTGTTTTGAAGTCGTGGAAAACTTGGAAAGCTATTATTACTGAGAAGAAAATCAATTTTTTTGAGAAGATGAAAAGGTGGAAGTCATCATCCAGGATTGGGCGTTTGCAAGAAACTTCGGAAACTGATAGTAGTGAGGAGATAAACGATTCAGAGGCATCATCCAACTTTCAGCAACAGTTGCAGGAAACTTGGGAAGCTATTATTAGTTACAAGGAAAAGAAGCCAAAGTCATCATCCGGGGCTGAACGTCTTTGTCGCCGGTTTTCACTAGATGAGATCCGATTAGCCACTAACAACTTCAGTGATGCACTTTTAATTGGAAGGGGTGGATATGGTAATGTTTACAAAGGCCACATTGATGAAGAACAATGTACTGTTGCTGTAAAGAGGTTGAAGAAATCAAGCTCCAAACAAGGGGAAAGTGAATTTTGGACAGAGATCGAGACTCTTTTTGAGCTACGACATGTCAATATAGTTTCTCTAATTGGTTACTGCAATGAGCACGGAGAAAGGATCCTTGTCTATGAATATATTCCATGTGGAACCCTGGCTGACCACCTTTATAGACTTGCAAGGAAAAGCAATAGTTGTTCTACTCTCACATGGAAACAACGCCTTGATATTTGCATTGGAGCTGGTCGCGGACTAGATTATCTTCACATGGGCTGTGGCGTCATACATCGAGATGTAAAGGCTTCAAACATCCTGCTTGATGAAAACTTTGTAGCTAAGGTTTCAGATTTTGGCTTGTCTAGACTTGAAAACAGAAGCAAGTCACAGAGCTATGTTAGCACACTAGTCAAGGGCACGGTTGGGTACTTTGATCCAAGTTACTTCCTCACCGGTCAACTAACAAGGAAAAGTGATACATACGGCTTTGGGGTGGTGTTGCTGGAAGTATTATGCGGGAGGCCTGCAATAGATACAATGGCTGCAGAAGATGAGAAGATTTTGTCCAGGTGGGCTCAAGATAAGATTAACAAAGGAGAAGTTGAAGAAATCATATCGGAGAGCCTGAGAGAAGAGATTTCACCAAATAGCCTCAAGACATTTTTGAAGGTTGTTGAAAGATGCTTGCATGATGAACCGAAGAAACGGCCAACAATGTCCGAAGTTGTGTCACAACTTGAATTGGCCGTTGAGCAACAGGAGGCGAAACAAGTTTCGGCGTTGAATCAGATAGCAAGAGTTTCTAATGACAACCATCATCCTGATGAGTATGTTGTGGATCCTGATGAGTATGTTGTGGATGACCCTCTTTTTATTCGAACAAAAGAAGATGAAGAGCAGAATAAGATCTATAGCCATGAGGGAAATTTGAAAGAGTGCGTCTTATTTTGCTCAGTGTTCCCATCTGGTTATGAATTCACCAAGGATATGTTAGTTTGGCAATGGGTAGCTAAAAGCTTGATAAATTTGAGTGAAGATGAAATCGAGGAAGTATACATCCAGTGCTTCGATAAATTGTTGAACTTGGATTTCATTGTGCCCTCTGGATATTGTCATTTTGCCGATGAAGTAAAGTATAAAGTTGGTCACAATATGACTATGTTTCTCCAAAATCAACTGTTAGAACCCAAGTTTCAAAATAATTTGGAGGGTAAACAGAGACGTATGGTCAAAGTTGAGAACCTGTCCTTGGCATTCAAGGAAATTGATCACATCAATTTCAGGATTCTGAAACAGTGTACTCGTCTTCAAACGCTGATCATTCATCGCTGCTATGGTTCTAAAGTAAATTATCTCCCGCCTGATCTTTTTCTAGAGCTTAAGGCCTTAAAGATTTTGAATCTGAGTCATACTAACATAAAGGAATTACCAAGTTCCGTTGAAAATTTAGAAGAAGTGCGATATCTTGACATGTCCGAGACACCTATCAAGTGGTTGCCCGAGTCCATTCTCTGCCTTGGGCATTTGCAGACCTTGAAACTCGATGGTTGTTTGAGCCTCGTCGGGTTGCCCAAATGCACGAGTAATCTGATCAACTTGCGGCATTTGGTTCTTGATATCGTGCGCCAGCTGCAGTCAATGCCTACAGGAATTGGAAAGTTATCCAAGTTACGAACGCTAGGGGCGTTTTTGGTAGGTGAAGAAGACGGTACTCGTATTGGAGAGCTCAAGAACATGAACAGTTTGAGAGGGTCACTTCGTCTATTGAATCTCGAAAATGTTCCGACAAAAGAGGAAGCTGCAGAGGCTTACCTTTGCAAGAAACACGGCCTTAAAAAGATCGAGCTGCAATGGAGCGATCTTCAAGATGAAAAGAATCCGAATGAAGAGGAAATCTTGAACTCCATTCAACCTCCTTTTAGCATCCAAGAGTTGAAAATACTCTTTTACAGTGGCGGGGTTTTTCCATCTTGGATAAGCAATCCATCGTTCAGTGAGTTAGTGAATATAACCCTCTACAGGTGTCGATATTGCGATACACTGCCGTCTATCGGCGAACTGCCTTCTCTGAAACTTCTCAACATAATTGAAAATAATGAGGTAAAAGAAATCAACAGTTTCTTTTGCAGGAAAGAAAGTAACGAGCATCACGTGGCATTTCCTAAGCTCGAGAAACTGTCATTCGATTCGATGTCCGAACTAGAACAGTGGACAGGCTTGAAGGAAGGTGACTTCCCTTGTCTCAGTTACCTCATTATACAGTACTGTCCCGAATTGATTGGCATTTCATTTCTTTCGCATTTGAGCTCTCTCTCGCATTTGGAGATAAGTTACTGCCCAAAGATCACATGTTTGCCCGAGGGCGGTTTACCACTCACGCTTGAGTCGTTGATGATTAAAGATTGTCCCGAATTGAAAGAACGGTGTTGTAACAAACAATGCGAAGATTGGTCGAAGGTTGCTCGTGTGCCTGCCTTTTACATCGACAATGAAAAGGTATCTGTATAGTTATCTCTCTGTCTTGGACTTTGTTAATCTTTATTTTAGGTTATCTGAGTTTGTCTTAAAACTGTCTCTGGTTTACTAATATATGTTTTAAAATAAAAATGTAAATAATCTGAGTTTATTTATGTTACAGCTTATTGCTGGTTTTATATATGTTGTAATCAAATGTTGAATAAAAATTATTTGAGGCGAAAGATTTCGAGGGTTCGGAGATATAAAAGAAAAGAGGAGAAATACATTGAATAAAAATTCATCAAATGTTTGGGCAAATTACGGCCACCTTCCTGAGGTATAATTACGAAACAACTCCTCTTATTTGCATAATTACAACCAACCCTTCAACTCAACCTTCTCTCTTTGCCCTTTTGTTTTCTTGATAAATGATTTCGATTTATATTCTCATTTTTTAATAGTTAAAATAAAGAAATATACTTTTTTTTGCGTATAGAAAGTTAAAAGAATAGATTTCAAACCAAACACACCTAGCAGAACATTCCTTGAGTTTAACAAGAATCGGAATTTTGGAAAATTTCGGGAAACAAGGGAGCCATTGTGACATGTTTCCCCGACCTAAAGGCGTATGCAACATTTAATAGAATATTCTCCAATTTGTACTTGTTTTACCCCGTACAAGTTTCCCCAATCTTAATTTTATGACACAGATTAATATATTGTTAATAGTAATTAGAATCCAATTTCGATTCCTAGTAGAAACCAAAGGAAGGAAAAGAAATTGACATAAATAAAACAAAAAATAACTCAGTCTAGTTAAACAAAAACTAGAAGAAGAATTATCTCCGATAAATTTGCCATACGATATAACATCCAACAACGAAAAACAAGGCACAACAACCGCTCAAATATCCAAAACGACGTTCCAAAGTACACACACACAAAAAGAAAAAATGTGACCGTTTAACTTGACAAGAAATAAAACGAGTCTAAAAACATTCGTCTAGTTTGTGAGCTCCATAATAGCGGATACAATATCACCATCGGATTCCTTGAGAGCTTTGACAGCCTTAGCTCTCGAAACACCAGCTTGAGTCATCACAAGTTCGATATCTTTCGGTTCAACACCGCTCTCGTCAACATCCGCGTCATCATCTTCCTGTGGTGTTAGACTGGCGGGCTCCGCCTTTGGAGCGGCACTACCGACAGTGGGGGCCTTGAACTGCTCTGCAGCTTGTGTCTGCAACTGCGAGCTCAGATCCTCGATCTTCGCCTCGCCGAAGATCACGTATGTGTCTGAATTAGGGCTCTTGAAAACGTCCGGCTTCGAGATTACGAAAAGGATCTGAAAAAAATACCGTGTGAAAAACAATTTTAAGGGTCGATGGGAAGTTAAAATAAAAATTATTGAGAAAATTATTGAATAGGTGTTGATGGGAAAACCGACATTCTTGCTCTTCTTGACGGTGACTCGGCTAACCCCAAGGATGGGCTTCATTCCAAGCTTTAGCATTGCCTTGCGGCTCTTCTTCTCGCTTCGGCTCTGCTTCGACCTACCGCTGCCATCTTCTTGTCCTGATAAAAAGAAATCGTATTCATGACAAAATGGAAATATGTAATGAATTTGACATCCATACCAATTGCTCAAAACATAAATCTAAAACGGGAGCTAAGAATTTCAAATCCGTTCTCATTTGGTTAATATGGATTAGTTTAAGCATGATTTTGTTCAACTTGTTTGTCCTCTGTAAGTTACCGATCACAGAAAAAGGCTTTATTCAATCTGAAAGACAAGCACTACATGCATTTAAGGAGGCAATTTAACAATTTTTAGTATCTCGTTCAATCTTTGTGATTAAAGAACAACATCATTTCGAAATTTCGAAAACAACTGCATTCTTGTCCTTCTAATCATGAGAAACAACTACGCCAAAATTCAATTTGCGAATAAAGATGACATAACTTAGATAACAAAAGAAATCGTCTACATAATTCCTACCAAGAACCAGCAAGCATAGATGTTTCACCTTTTAATTAATGTCAATAACCAGATATTCTACGATACTGCAGATCTTAGTGTAAATGAAGATAAACGGAAATATAAAAGTTTAATATTGACAAAACACGGAGAACGGAATTGGGCATAAAACGGAGTACAAATACCTTCAGCATCATCTTCATCTTCATCGTCTTCATCATCATCTTCTTCGTCCTCAATCAAAGGCTCGTCATGCTGCAATTAAAAAACAAACTATATCAACAAACTATCACATATTACAATTCTACCCCTATCCCAACAAACATGAAGCAATGCTAATTTTTATCATACAGAGAGGGAAAATGTATCTAGTTTAATACTTCAAACAGCGTCAAATCGAAAGCCGAACATTGTAAAAACCAGTCACCAATCAATGTTTAACTATACTCGGTCATTTCTTATATATTCAATTAAAAAAATATTCTAAAATGATTTATTTTTCCTTATTTTTTTCCTATTTCAAATGAAACATGAACCACTACATCTTAGATTTATATATTAAACCCATGATATGTTGCAGAAAATCCCTAGATCGGAAAGAATAAGAAACTTCAAAACCTAAATGAAGTTTCTACATAGCTCATCTATTTTCTCCTTTACTCAAATCAGCAAAATAATGCAAATAATAAACCCAAACCCAAAACCCCAAATGAATGGAATTCAAAACCCCACAACAATATTCAAACTTGAATCAACCCATAGCTTTTGTGTGTGTGTGTGTGTGTGTGTGAGAGAGAGAGAGAGAGAGAGATTACATCAATTTTTTGTTGTTCGAGATGAGCGGCCAACAACTCTTCTTGTGATTGTGTCATGGTCGATTCTTGCAGATAATTGAGAGAAATGTGAGAGATGCTCTTAAAACCCTAGAGAGAGAGAGAGAGAAATGTTTGTGGCGAAATACTTGCAACAAATTTAAGGGTTACGAGTTGCCGTAAAAGCGGGTTTGTTGTAAGAAAACCTAACGATTTGATAGTCGGTATACTAAAGTCGTGTTTGTTTTTGTGCTTTCATTTTTCGAAAATGGTTAAATACGTTTTGCACCCCTGAAGTATAGCATATATAACACCTACCCCTTAAAGTATCATTTGTAACACTTACCCCATCAACATCAATTATTTTATATTTTAAAATTTAAAACATAATAAACCTAACAATCTAATAATTATTGGATCATATAAAATTTAAAACTAACTAAAATTAAATTTTATTGGAAAATAATTAAAAAGTAATATTTATATTGTATATTATTAGTTATGTATCGATTTCTTAAAATTTATCGATATGAATATATTCGATTAATTGGTCCAACAACAATTAAATGTTATTTATTAAGTATGTATCGAAAGCAAGATAATGTTTTTAAATTTTAAAATATTGTATTTCAACATTATTTCTTTTAATAGAATATAAATTTTTAAGGTATTGGAATTTAAAATAAAAAATAAATTGTACTTGAGGTAGGTAAGTGTTACAAATGATATTTCAAGGGGTAAGTATTACAAATGGTATATTTTAGATGTCTAAACCGTATTTAACCCTTTCGAAAATATTTTAGTAGCGTTAGAGAAAATGTCTAAAAAATTGTTATGTTAACAGAAGGTTTCACTTTTCAAACAAAATAATATCTTAAAACATATATTTTAATATAATAATAATAATAATAATAATAATAATAATAATATATATATATATATATATATATATATATATATATATATATATATATATATATATATATATTAATATACACATTTGTGTGTGTGTGTGTGTTTGTTGTTTATTAATTTACCACTCCAAAAAAATTAAAAAATGGTTATCTTTATTCTCTATCTGAAAAGAAAAGAAAAGAGTGATAGGTTGGTTGAGCGTCTTCTTCCAATTAAATAAATTAAAATAATAATAGCCATTCTCTTTTTTATTCTTTTTCTTTTTTCTAATAAAAGATTGTATTTGACTTAATGTGTGATTGAAGTAAACCTTTGACATTTGACCTACACATTTTAATTGTCATTGAAGAATAAAATTTTACAAAACAAAAAATTAAATAAAAATCCACTCGTGGCATTATGTATTTCTTACAAAAGATGAATTACAAATTTAAACAAAAAATCAATAATTTAGTTTGACACAACTGAAAAGCTTTTATTGCCATTTTCTTCATTAGCTACTAATTAATATATGCCGACATTTGATCCACTTAGCAAAAAGAAAAAAAAGAAAAAAAGGATAAATTGCAACCACCTCCCTGAGGTAAAGCCTATTTACAAAAGCCCCCCTCATTTTTTTAATTACATCTAGTCCTCTACAGTTTGTAAATTTCATACATTCACACCCTTACAAAAGGTTGTTAATGTAAGAAATCTACAAATTACAAGAGGGTGGATGCAATTACAAAAAAAAAAAATTGAGGTTTTTTCGTAAATAAACTTTACCTCATGAGCGATTGTAGTGAAAACTAACCCCCATTTAGTGTAAAATTGAGTAATTAGACACCACACCTAATTGCTTACATTGATTGGATTTCAATCGTAAATTTACACACAATCACGATGTACACACTCGTGTGTATTCGTGCTTAATAAGTAATTATTTAATTAGATCTACTGTGAATATCCGATCCAGGTGTAAGCATCTAAATGGTCGTGTAAAATTAGTATTCCGAAAAAAAACTCGAAATCTAAAAGAAACACGCAATCTTGTTCAATAAACAAAAATAGTTTTTGATGATCAAGACTTGATTATTACCACAAGAAAACATGACAACACAAAATTGACTTGTCTTTATCTCACAACTAGTAAGGAAAAAAACAGTTGATCTGCTCTCCAAAAAAAAGTTACTCCATTTTTTTTGAAAACCCTAAAATAATAAAAAGTAAAAATAAATATTCCATTTCTCCACCCCATTAACCACTCACCCAATTTTTCCCATCTGTCTGTCTACACACAAACAAGTAAATTAAATTTAATTAAAAAAAAAAGAATGGAAAAAGCAGCCATTTTCTGAGAAGCAGCCGCACCAGTAAAATGGAGCATTGCTGAAGATATTTTCTGCAATGGGGAAGGCGGAGGATGGGCAATCTCTGCCGAGTACAGCTTTCGAAGCTGGTGGTACAACACCCCCAAATGCGGGGAGCTGCAATCGGTGCTGCTTGAGCTGCATTAGGTTGAAGAAGCTGGTGAATTTCAGATGCGTTTTCGCTTTGTTGCTTGGTGTTGCTGTGTTTTTGTCTGCTGTTTTTTGGCTGCCGTTTTTCCATTTTGGTAACCGTGAAGATCTGGATCTGGATTATGCAGGTTCGTCGGATTTTTTTTTTTTTATTTTATTTAATTATTTATAAAATATATATAGAAGTTGTTGATTTTGGGGATAATTGATTATCAACATTATGCAGTGCATGCAGATCTGATTTTGGTATTTAGATATGTTTTTGTTTTTTCTTAATTAGGTATTAGAACTGTAGTAAGCTTGCTTACTTGTATTGAATTGAATCACTAGTAAACTGTGATTGCCAATCATTTAATTTTGCTTTACTTATATAGATAGAGTCTTCGATTTCTCGGTATTTCTTTCGATGCTAAACCGATAGGCGATATGTGATGTACAAATGCAAATGTAGTTTCCGAAATTAATCCATCGATCCACATTCGTACTTTGGTGTTCCGTATTAAAAATTCAAAAACGTTTTCGAATTTGGTAATTTACATTCTGAAATCCGACAGGTTTATTTTTCGAAATTGAGGCGTGTAGTCGTATCTTTCGGTCGGGTTTTGTAGTTGAAATTCACTCTTATTTAGTCCTTGTAAATTCCATTTATCTCGTCGTTAATTAGATGTAATAAGATATTTTATTTGATATTCGCCAGGCCATGATATAGTGGCAAGTTTTACACTAAAGAAACCGGCTTCTTTTCTCAAGGACTACATATTGACACTCGAGGACGATATTTTTGACGAGATGAGCTATTCTTCGACCAAGGTAATCATTTATTACTTTATTGCCCCTTCTCTTTTCTCGAACTATAAAATGCTATTAATCTTAGTTATGTATTTTTTTTGACAGATAGAAATAATATCTTTAGAATCAACGGCTGGATCGAACGTGACAAAGGTTGTGTTTGCGGTCGAGTCCGATGCAACAACGCAGAGTTTAATCAGAGCCTCGTTTGTGTCTCTAATTACGAACCAGTCGTTTCTTCATTTGACGGAATCTTTGTTCGGAGATCCATTCTCTTTCGACGTGCTCAAATTCAGAGGAGGGATTACAGCTAGCCCGGTCCAAAAGGCATTACATTGAACTTCTCGATCGATGAAATAGTAAATAATTTCGACGAACTCACTAGCCAACTCAAAACAGGCTTGCATTTGGCTCCATGCCAACTCAAAACAGGCTTGCATTTGGCTCCATACGAGGTGTGCACATGGGACACGACATTCTTTTTTATTGCCTTTAGTACCCCCTGTGTTATATCGAATTGCTAAAGAACTCTTTGTGTCGTAAATATTAGTAAAACCCCCCCATGATGCTTTTTTTTTAGCACACAACTCCCTAAACGGTGAATTTTTAGGGGTTAGTTTGCTAAAAAAATGCATCATAGGGGGGTTCTTGCTAATATTTATAACACTAGAAGTTTTTTAGCAACTAGACTAAAACACAAGGACACTGAATTCAATAAACCAATTCTGAAACAACGGTACTTCCATCGTATCATAAAAGTTCTTTTTCGTTTTTCATTTTCTGACTTTTTTTTTTGTGGGTGAAATGCAGAACTTGTATATAAAGCTGACGAATCTGAAGGGCTCGACAGTAGCTCCACCTACGACAATACAAGCGCAAGTTCTCTTGGCAGTGGGTATTAACCCTTCAAAATCGAGGTTAAAGCAGTTGGCTCAAACCATCACAGGTTCGGACACTAAAAACCTCGGACTGAACAACACCGTATTTGGTCGGGTCAAACAAGTTCGTCTCTCGTCTATACTACAACACTCCCTCGGTGCGGGGCCCACACCGTCTCCGTCACCATCCCCGTCACCGTCAGCATCTCCTACATCGAAATTCCACCACCACGACCGCCAGCACCACCATCATCTTTCTCCTAGCGCTTCGCCTTCACCGCCAGTTGGGGTAAGATCACCTGCATCTGCACCCGTGCCCGCACCAGCGCCCGTGAAGAATAAAGAAGCAGGACCCACGGCTTGTCCATGGAAGTACAAGCATCCTCGTACTGCACCAGTTTATGCACCACATTCTTCTTCATCACCGCCGAAGCAAAAAGATCACATCACACTCGCACCCAAAATTTCTCCATTTCATGCAAAAAGCCCGTCTAGGCGGGCCCCACCAAAGGTTGAATTTCATGCCCGGTCACCAGATTCGATGCCGTTAATTTCGCCCTACCATTCTCAATGTGAGTATAAAATACTTTCAAGAATTGTACGAGCAATGCTAATATTGAAATTCTTGACGGTGTATATCTGTTTGCAGCTTCAGCAGGAAGGTTTGCCTCCCATATGTGGGCCCTACCACTGTTTATATTACTCGGAATGCATTTCTAGAAAACACGAAACGAGAAGAATCATTTGGATTACGACTGCCTTAAAAAAAAACCTCAGAAAAATGCTTCCGGCATTACATGATGGAGTTTTCACGGTGTGAGCAAATGCCAAAACCGCGTTGAGTGCATATATATGTCACTTTTGTTGCTTGTAAATATTCGATTAAAAAAAGTGCGGTGGTTGACTTTCGTGAAGGGTCAAAGTCACAGAGGTGACGGGCCCTATCACGGCGTAGTGAACTACCACAAAATTGTGTATGATAATTTTTCCTCGTAAGTTTAAGGAGGGGGAATCAAACAAGTGTAAAACAATACCACCCTTTTGTTTCTAATCTCTTACAAGCTTGTCATCCTTGATTATTTAAAAAAAGAAGAAAATCTTTTGGTCCCGTGTTTAGTTCAGAAATCTAAGATGGTGGCGACTCCGATCGGAAACGGACACCAAGCCAAGCCACTCAACCCAACAAACCCTGGATCTATCCTAAACTCACACTGAGTTGACTCGCCAACACATGAACAGTCAACCAGTCAAAAGAACACTCTCAGTCGAACTCCAGTTTTCTAGCACACGGAGTTTCAATCACTCAAAGAAAAAGATTGAAACCCCGAAAACACAGAAAAGGAATAGTGAAGTGTTGACAAGTGCAAATAATTTATTGCAGAATTTGTACACTTGAATTTGTTTCAATTTTCAAATTGATTGTTTTCATAACTTATTAATGGTTGGAATTAAATAGTGAGCGTCACATGTGAATAGGTTGAGAATCGGTCGGTAGAGAACCCCGTGAATTTTGCGATATTGGATTTGGATTCTTTTTCAACTTGACTTGATTCATTCAATTTTCTAAATTTTGTTATAAAAATTATAATATTTGTAGAATATTGAAAATTATAAAATAAGTGTAGTGGGTCTTATTTGCTGGACTTTGTGTATGAACCGAGCAAGCCCAACTCTAATACTAATACAAAAATCAAGAACAAGATTTAGAAATTTTTAAATCAACACATGACTAGACTTAAAATCCTGTTTGACAAAGCTTATTTTAAAATAACTGATAAGTCCTTAAGTCTGATAAATTGTTTTTATTTTTTAAATTATTTTGAATAATGAGCATATAAGTTATTTTATTTATTATAATTTTTTTTTAATAAATTATAAGCTCAGCCAAGCACACTATTATTTTATAATCACTATTATTTTATAATCACGAAAAATGACACCAATCAAAAACAAGTTGACACTAGTGGAAGTATTTTCAAGTTGACCCTTAGTTGTGATATTGCATTTTCATGTGTTTTTTCTTTTATATACATATAACAAGAACAAGTTGACACGAGTGGAAGTATGTTCAAATTGACCCCTAGTTGTCATATTGCATTTTCACGTGTTTTGTTGTTTTTCATATATATATATATATATATATATATATATATATATATATATATATATATATATATATATATATATATATATAAAAGAAGAATATCTGCCTAAAAGAATTATAAGGATGGTAATGAGTAAAGAGTTACAATCATCTTTTTCCTTATCATATTTTATTAGTGCAAAACAATGTTCATTGTCCAAACGGGATATGACAAATTTACTTTTGGACTAGCCCCCACGTACCATCGTTATACATTGTAAAGTTATATCTTGTATAATTAAATTAAATAGGAATGAAAATCGGAAATCAAAATGGAAAAACTCGTCACAAGTGTAATTTAAAAAAAAAAATTAAAAATTATTTTCAGAAATTAAAATTGGATCATGAATCGAATCTCATATAAATTCCAATTCCGATCCAGTTATTTTTGCAAAAAAATCTGGAATCAAACAATTCAAGATTCAGAATGAAAAATATAGTTCCAAAATCGGAAATTCCATTCTGATTTCCATCCCGATTTAGTGCAGCATATTAAAATTAATCATTTAATTTAACCAAAGAAAGGCCTAAAAAGCCCAAGACAAAACATAAAATTCAGCATAGAGATAAAAAAGTTAAAAGTTTATTATCAAGAAAGAAAGGCAACAGTGTTGTATGTGAAAGAGAGACGCCCACCTGTCAGCTTATATATATTTGATTACTAATAACAACTGATCGGAGAATTAATTCCTCTGCTTCGATTCAGGGTTCTTCTTCACATGCCAAAATATCTTTTAATGAAAAAATAATTCAAAATTATAATGCTCACTTTTCACTGTTAGAAGATTACTCCTCATATACACACACACACACACACACACACACACACACACACACACACACACACACACTCATTTTCTACTCACTTTATTGCAGCGTATTTTCCTTTGAATCTTTGCAAGAAGGGGGCAACTATTTTGAATACTAATTTTTGCTTAGTTGAATACTACCTAGTTGAAAACCACAATTGAGTACATATTTATAAGTTTTTTCTTACTTTAAAACCAAAATAAAAAGAAAATTACAAAAACACCCTTTCATACAAAATATCAATTATATCAAATTTTATTAGAAATTACCTATTCAAAAACCAAATAAAAAAAAAAGAAAAAAACCCTTTGTTGTTAAAAAAAAAAACCTCCACCATTTCTTCTCCTCTCCAACCCTGACCGCCGCCGCCGCCGCCGACGCCGCCGCCGCCGCCGCCGCCGCCGCCGCCGTCGAACGCCACCGTACGTGCTCGTAACTGCCGCGACAACCCAATTAAACCCTATCTTTTTCATCTTCTTAAATCCTCCAAAACATCTCCAAATTCAAAAAATCAAAACCTCACAAAACTTATAAAATGGAGTTATAAGACAATAATATGGTAGTATATGTGGAAAGAGAAGCCATTAAGGTAAGTATCGATGTCTTTTTTGAGCTTCGAAGTCGATTTTGAAGTTTTTTTTTTTGAAACCCGTCGGCAAATTTCGACACATACAGAT